ATTAAAGCCCAATACGGTTCATTAGAACAAATACGATCCATTAAGGCCCAATACGGTCCGTTAATGTCCAATACGGTCCGTTAAGGCCCAATACGGTTCATTAGAGCCCAATACGGTTCATTAGAGCCCAATACGGTTCATTAGAGCCCAATACGGTTCATTAGAGCCCAATACGATTCATTAAAGCTCAATACGGTTTATTAGAACAAATACGATCCATTAAGGCCTAATACGGTCCGTTAATGTCCAATACGGTCCGTTAAGGCCCAATACGGTTCATTAAAAGATTTAAAAGATTTTAAATTTTTATTAAAATTTTATTTTCTAAAAGGTTTTTTTTGTTTTATAAATATTATTTTTCTAAAAATATTTCCGGCGGATTTATTTTTTTAATTTTTTTACATTTTTGAAAAAAAATTTCTAAAAATATTTCCGGCGGATTTCCGGCGGATTTGTTTTTAAATTTTTTTAAAAAATTTATTTTTCTAAAAGGTTTTTTTAATTTTTCAAATTTTTTTGAATTTTTTAAATTTCCGGCGGAATAAGTCCGCCGGAAATATTTAAAAGATTTTTAGTTTTTTTTCTAAAAACATTTTCGGCGGATTTCCGGTTGATTTATTTTTACATTTTTTTTTAAATTTATTTTTCTAAAAGTTTTTTTTAATAGTTTAAAAATTATTTTTCTAAAACTATTTCCGGCAGATTTCCGGTGGATTTATTTTTTTAATTTTTTTATTGTTTTACATTTTTTTTAAAAAAATTTCTAAAAAAATTTCCGGCGGATTTGTTTTTTAAAATTTATTTTTCTAAAAGGTTTTTTTTATTTTATAAAAATTATTTTTCAAAAACTATTTTCGGCGGATTTCCGGCGGATTCATTTTTAAAATTTTTTGAATTTTTTTTTTAAATTTCGAGTGGAATAAGTCCGCCGGAAATATTTAAAAGATTTTTAATTTTTTTCTAAAAATATTTCCGGCGGATTTCCGGCGGATTTATTTTTTTGAATTTTTAAACTTTTCCGGCGGACTTATTCCGCCGGTAATCCGCCAGTAATATCTTTTCCCATTTTTTTCCAAATATGAATTACTTTTTAAAGATTAATTAACCCTTAATTAATAAATCCGTCGGAATCCGCCGGAAATCTAACCGATTTAAATTTTCCGGCGGATTACCGGCGGATTTCCGGCGGAAGTCAACAAAAGTTGACTTTTTAAAATGCCGCCGGAAATCCGCCGGAAAATTTCCGGCGGAATATGTCCGCTGGAAATGCCCAGTTTTCTAGTAGTGAGATTCACCCTATGGTGTCTGTTTCCCAAGGTACAACGGCCTGAGCAGTAGTATTTTCGGGCTAAGACAAATGCTTGAAAGAAAGTCGAGGGTTCACCTAGAAGTTGATCAATAACAGTGTATAGAAAAGGAAATTACAAATAAACCTCACATGTTGGTTATATAGTAGAAGTAATGTGGAGTTGTAAAAGATGTCATAATATCAAAAAGTTGGAAAGCCAACAGATATTAACAAGAAATTTGAAAAGTTTATCCAAAAACTCATCAGAACTTTTCGATCGATCCCAAGATTGCATTTGTGTCCACAGGACGTGACTGTACACACAAATTTAGTGGTACAAAGCTTAACGGGTCTAGATTTCGCATCCCCAATGCATGCACATGAGGGAGACTTTTCTTTCAATATTTCTTAATATCTTCCTCTGCAAATCATAAATAAACTAGTCCCACCTTCAAGTTCCCACCAATGTGGGACAACTTTTTTTTTCACAACAACACCCACTTGTATGAGCCTACTTTGAGATTCAATTTCTCATTCATACAAGCTCAATTTTGAAAAAACTTTAGCTCTTTATAAATCCCTTATGGAGGAGAACGAGATCCTACAAGTAGTTCCACAAAAGTAAGACATTTGTCCAATTAATTTTTACATCTAAAATAGAAACCCATTTTATTTAACTATTTTTTTCCAACAAGCCCCATATGAACGAGAATTGATCGGAAATTGATGAATTCTCATAAAACCCTCAACATTCAAATTCTGCAAAGGATATGTAGGTTACTCTTTGAACCTTCCCTTGTGAAATGTACTTTGTCTACTCGCTGATCAACTGACACAATGTCCTTGAACCGTTGTATCGTCTATGGAGATGACTGCACACTTCACATGGAATCCTCCCTGACATGGGTCAGTCCTTATTGTCATGTTCATTATGGTCATGAAGATTTTCCTAGTTCTAGAAGAGCTCTTAGGAATTGCACCCACATACAACTTCCTTCGAAAGGACTCCACTTCTCTCTTGCATAGGTGATCTTTCTTGGATCATTAAAATTCATAATCTTATCCTTAAATCATATTCATTGTTACATTTAGAAAGAGACTATAGAAAGTTTCCCCCATAGTGATCTAAGTGGTGTATGTAAATAAGTTGTCCCTTTGAACCTAAGTCTTGGGATATATAGTCAACTAGGTTGGGTTTCCTTTGTATTCACTTGTTCATTCAAGGGCTTGAGTCCAATTCCTCTTGATGACTTACTTACTGACTCTCTATTCAAACCTTTTGTTAGCGGATCTGCATTGTTATGCTTTGACTTTACATAGTCAATAGAGATAACTCCTGTATAGAGTAGTTGTCGCATGGTGTTATATCTTCGATGGATTTACCAAGACTTACCATTATACATAACATTTTGTGCCCTCCCAGTTGCTGATTGACTATCACAATGTATGCATATAGCAGATACTGGATTTTACCATATTGGGATGTCTTCCAAGAATTGTCTTAGCCATTCAGCTTCCTCCACACACTTATCGAGTGCTATAATACAAGCCCATTTTGTGTTGTCAAAATTTGAATTCCGAGAATCACATTAGCTAGACCCATGTCTTTCATGTCAAATCTTGTCTTCAACATTTTCTTTGTGGATTTGACCATATTATCGTTACTGCTAATAATTAGCATTTCATCAACATAAAGACTTAATATGACATACCCTGATACCCAACACCTATGTCTTTAACATAGACACACTTATCACATTCGTTAATCCACATTCCAAATCACATGATCAAACTTTTGATGCCATTGTTTTGGTGCTTGTTTTAATCCATACAAGGACTTCACAAGTTTAGAAATCTTTCTCTTGATTTGGGGAAATGTACCCCTCAGCTTGTCCCACGTAAATCTCTTCTTCTAAATCTCCATCAAGAAATGTTGTTTTCACATCCATTTGATGTACTTTCGACTTTATCAAAGATGCAATGGCAAATACCAACCTAATGGATATGAGACGTGTTACGGGATAGGAAGTATCAAAGTAATCTAGACCTTCTTGCTAATTGTAACCTTTGATCACCAATTTGGGCTTGTATTTGTCAATGGTCCCATCTGCCTTCATATTCCTTTCGAAAATCCATCTATAGCCTAGTGGTTTGCATCGGACCAGAAGGTCCACTAATTGCCAAGTGTGGTTTTGCAAAATGGAATCCATTTCGCACTTGATGGCTTCCTTCCATTGAGGTCCTTCAGAAAAAGTGACTACTTCTTGAAAGGTTTGAGGCTCTCTTTCAATCATATATGTATAGAAATCAGGACCAAAGGATTTCTCAACTTGTGCCCTTCATCTAGGCTCTACTTCTTCTTCTTTTTTCTTTGTCTTCCTCAATATGTTCCTTATTATCTTCATGAGTTGTCATTCTTAAGTAGT